GTCTCACTATGTAGTTGAGACTGACCTGGAACTCTCCATGTAGTACAGGCTGGTCTCCAACTCATAGCAATTCTCCTGCCTCAGCCTCTCGAATGCTGGGATTACAGGCATGTGCCACCATGCCCAGCCTCTTTTTTGTGGTAGGAATCCATTTAATTTTTCCATGTGGATGTCCAGGTGCTCCAGCAACACTGATTATAGGGCTTTTAAAACTTAAGAAAAGAATCACTAGAGGTTGTTGAAAAGTAGATTCCTGAGCACCAATCTATACTTACCAAGTTCAATTTTCAGGAAATCTGTATATTTAACAAGTGCTTAGATATTTCTGAGATCAAGGAAGCTTAGAGAAACACTGATATGCAGAATAGTAATTCTTACCCACTGTTCTGAAAGATACCTCCTATATACTTTCTAATCTGTACCATTTATTGATTTAGTTTTTTTCTGCAAAAATACTATACCCACCATCTTCATTTTATACCTTCATACTAAGCTTTAGTGTCTGCTGGGGAAAACTGGTCCACCATATTCTTTTTTTTTTTGGTACCAGGGATTGAACTCGGGTCCTTGCGCTTGCAAGGCAGGCCACTGAACCGCTGAGGTAAATCCCCAGCCCTACCACCATATTCTTTGTGTTCACTATTCATGATTATTTACCTCTTCATGGAAAGTTTGGAATTTTCTTGCCAAATCTATGAAAAACTATGTTAAATAGAGTTTAACTGAATCAACAAATCCATTTGGAAGAACTGACATCTTTAATATATCATCTTTCTCTATCTCTAAACATGGTACACTTCTTATAATTTATATCTTCTTGAGTATTTTTTAATATTAGCTTTACATTTTTTGTATAAAAGCATTGCATGTATTTGTTAGATATACTCATAGAGACGTTAGAACTTTTGTTGCGATTATAATTGGTATCCACTTACATATTATATTTCCTAACCATTTGCTGCTGATGTAGATATAGAAGTCTTCTACACATTGAGTTTGTATACAGCCATCTTACTCTGTTATTAATTTGGATATTTCTCTCTAGATTTTTTAAGCATTTTCTTTGCAGGCAATCATATTTTTAAAAAATTATTTCATCACATTGGCTAAGATCTGTAAGCTTAAAATTGAAAAGTTAATAGTGGCCATCATCCCAGTCAGCAATGTATAAAAATTCATTTTTTTTTTTACATTTTCACCAGCATGTGTTATTTTTGTAATAGTCCTTCTAATTGGGATGAGATGGAATCTCAGTTTTTTTTTTCATTTTTTTAATATAGTTTTGATTTGCATTTCCCTGATCACTAAAGAAGTTGAGCATTTCTTTCATATATTTATTGGCCACTTGTACTTTTTTTTGTTGTTTTTTTGAGACAGGGTTTCACTATGTAGTTGAGACTGACCTGGAGCTCACTATGTAGCCCAGGCTGGTCTCGAACTCACAGTGATCCTCCTGCCTCAGCCTCCCGAGCTCTGGGATTACAGGCATGCGCCACCACACCCAGCCTAACTTGTACTTTGTTATTAATGTATATTAGCAGTACAAATGATGATGTTCATTTTGGGGAATTGTAACACGCATATAACATATTTTGATATTTTGAATCCCTTTACCTTCTCCCTCTTATCTCTCTCCCCCAGTCCCCTTCCCTATTGCCAAAAGTCTGCCTTCATGTTTCCTACCTTCTCTCCTTTATTTTACTTACTCATTTATTTATATTTAATCTTATGGCAGATGAATACCTGGTAAACATTTTCTCCCTTTCTCTCTTCACTCTGTCGGTTGTTTCCCTAGCTGTGGAGGTTTCAAAGTTTCAGGTCTTATATTAAAGCCTTTGATGCATTTGGTGTTTAATTGTGTACCCAATGACAGATAGGAGCCTGGTTTCATCTTCTCCTTGAGAATATCCAGTTCCTCCTCAGCACTATTTGTTGAAGAGGCTGTCTTTTATCAATGTATGTTTTTGGTACTTTTGTTGTATGACTGCATTTTCTAATGGATAATCAAATCTATATGTCTTTTATAGGCCAAATTTAGGGAAAATTGATTACAATTTCATATCTTTACAGAATTGACTTGTCACTATTTAATATATCATTTTATGTATATTCAATAAATGATCTTGGCACTTAAATCAATCAAGAGCATACCCTTGTTTCCTTTCTTTTTTTGTGGTACTGGGGATTGAAGCCAGAGCCTTCACACTGAACTACATCCTTGGCCCATTTTAAATTTTTTATTTTGATGTAGTGTGCCATTATGTTGCCCATGCTGTACTCAAACTTGTGAGCCTCCCAGAATACTAGAATTATTGGTCTGTACTACCATGGCTGGATTCCTTTCCTATACAGTCATTAACTAGCTTGAGGCTATCTTATTGGAAATAGAATTACTATAGTCTTCTCATGAATTTAATCTTTATTATTGTCCAATGTGATACTGTCTTTTAACTGGCAAATTTAGTTCAATTATATTTATTGTAATTACATATCTATCTTACTTTTCCTGTTTTTTCTTCTTTTAATATTATTTTTGGATTGACTTTTTCCCTTTGTTCCATGCCTTAATCTGTTTTATGTTGTTACTCTGGACTCGGTAACTTACAAAGAAAATAGGTTTATGTAGCTCATTGTTCTAGAGGTTCAAGAACATCACATCAGCATCTGATTGGCCCTTGGTGAGGGCCTTTGCTGGGTTATGACATGGTGGGGAGCATCATGTGGCAAGAAGCTAAGGTCTTTTCTTTTCTTCATAGGAAGCCACAGTCTTACTGAATTAGGGCTCCACACTATGGCCTCATTTAACCTTAGTCACCTATCAAAAGTCCTACCTCCAAATACCATAGTTACATGAAGTATCTACTCATTTACTACCTCACAATAGTAATTAGTGGGAATTTAGTGGATTTAGTGGAAATCTTCAGACCATCCCCTTCTAGTGATTTTTACAATGCATATTTAATGTGGCCCTAAATTTAACTAATATCTCTACTCCTTTTTTGGAAAGTATAAGCACCTTAGAAATCTCTAAGGGCAATAGCCATGCATCTAGTTGCATGCTAGTTTTGCCTAGTATTTTACCTCTATTTTCAATTATTTTAAAGTACGTAATAGATATTGTTGTTTTATAGAATCATTATTGGTGTAGATCTACCTATTTGCACGTTTGCTTGCCATTTCTTGCATTTCAACCCTTACTGTCGATGTCAGTTTTCTCCTTTCTGAAAGTACATCCTTTAGAAACGCCTTTGATAAAGGTCCATTGTTGATAAACCGTGTTTTTGTTCATTTGAAAAATGTTTCTGTTTCATCCTCATTCTTGAAAGATCATTTTAGGATATAGAATTCCATACTGAGGCCCCTCTTCCCCAATATCTTCTGGCTTCTATTAATCTAATTGTATTATCTGTCCCTTCTATCCTGATACTCTGAAGATCTGTCTTGGCACTCAGATGCCTCTCCTCAATATGTATTTGTGAACCTTTATTTCTACCTGACCGTAACCAGGTTCTGAGCAACTAATTCTTAGGGAGAGGCTATTACTATTTTCTGTCTGGAGCAAAGGCAGAGAAAACAGGCTTCCTTTTCAGATTCCCTTTACCTACATTTTGGATGAGGAAGCAGTTCCGTGAAGAGCTGTTTATTCAGGAGCTTCCAGTTTAGATCCTGATGTTTGCAAGCCCCCTGTCCTGATCTCCTGCTTCCTCACATGGCTGTTAATGTCCTGGTCTTTAAGTGCTTAGGATTGTCTTTGTTTCAGGGCAGTACAAATTTTTATCATTCATATTTTCACACTTTCTGAGTTTCTATTCATTCTCAATCTTATGGCTTCTTTGTAAAGCTCTGGTAGCTCAGCAATGTACAGAGTATGGAAGCATAGTTCCTATTCTTTATCTAGCATATAGGTGTTATGCAGTGGTAAGAACTTTTTTTTTTTTTTCATTGCTTCTAAGCCTTTGGGCTAAAACCAAATATGATAAGAGCTTTTCAGACTACCTACCTTTCTGAAATAATTAATTTAGAAGCAGAACTTTTGGTAAATATTTAAAAGCACTTGTTATACTTAAACTTTTAGTATTTTTAGCTATTTTTATATGGTTAGAACCATATGTTCAGGGGAACCAGAAGGGGTAGAAGATACAACAAGCTTTCAGAGTTTTGCTGTCTTGTTAAAAGACAAAACCACTACACAGGTAACAATTAGAGAACAATTAAAGAATAAGCTAGGAGGATGTAACTGCAGGATTTATTCAGAGAAAAGAAAGACTTGTAAATAAACTGTTGGTAATTAGACTTTTCTGTGCTCCCAGATTACCCTGCATGGTTGCAATCCAACTTGCCTAAAACTAGCTGTATTACTGAATACGTGGTCACATAGAATCTTTAACATAAATGATGGAGCCCAGTGGACCTCAGCCACAAATAGAAATTCTGAGATTTTTTTTTATTAATGGATACAAACGCACACACTGAAATTAGGGCCAAGAGCATTTATATTTCTGGTTCTGTCAGTAACTTTGCAAACTTGGATACTTCATTCTCCTTTCAGGCCTTCAGCTTTCCATCTGTAGAATGAATGCAGGGCTGTGTTCTGTTAATTGCCAAAACATTTGTAAAATGTTTGAGGGAAATGCTACCCGTGGTTGTGCCATCACTTATCTGCAGAGAAGAATGCTTCTCTGGGAGTTTGAAGGGGTGTACACTTGCTTCCTCCCCTTGGTGCTTCTTACAAGCTAAGTTTCATGCTGATGGTCAGATAAGGCAGTATTTTTGTACTAAATTTCAGATATTAATTAGCTTTCATGTGATTCACCTTCTTTCCACAAGAGAATTATAGGGAATTAATTTGGTACTCTAGTTCATTTGGCTCAGATTAAGATTTTATGCTATGCATAAGGAAATGTGTTCAAAGAAGGTGTTATATATACAGGGAAAAGTTTGATATTTGAGTAACTTGGAGGATGGATGACACCTGCTTTGGAAGATTTCTTGTAGGAGTTATTTCTTCATATAAGATCTACTGAGCCAGGTAACAGAAATGCCATTCTTTAAGGGTCTTAACACAGATGTCCCTTCCTATGGGACTGAACACTGTAAGCAGGTCCCACCAGGGGACCCAAAGCAGGAGACACCTGTGTCTGCCCTCCCAGGTGGTGATTCTGTGCCCTTTCACTGGAATTCAGCAAACTTTCCCCTGCAGCAACTGGCTGGATGAGAAGAAAGTGGATGGGCTGGTCGAGAGACAGCTCTATGAGATGGTATCTCTGAGGAAGAAGCGGCTGAAAAGTAAGTACAAGGGACCCCTCATCTGGGGTCCCTTGAAGAGGTCCACAAAGCTAGGATGTCAGACCACGGGAGAAAAGTAGGATCTAGTCATTCCTGAGTCCCCATTTTCCTCCAGGCAGAAGGGGAAAGAACCTTCCCGGGAACTCAGTTCTCTAAGGTACAGCCACGCACGGCTGCGCAGCTGGCAGCGAGGTTGACTCCCCTGTCTCCAAATCGAGGAAGCTGCTGTGATGAGCTGGGGAGTAAACAGAGTGATTCACTAAGCTGCATTCAGAACATACCAGACATAGAATGCATGGAGTCAATGCTTCATTCAATTTAAAATATTAATTGGCTGTAGCCACTAAATAGAGCATTAAGGTGTCCTAGTTTGAATATGAAGGAACCCTTAACTTTCTAAGTGTGACATTTTTATAATGGGTTTCTGACAGGCGGACACGTGTATAACCTGCCCGTCAGCCCTGGTCACTAGATAACATGAAAAATCTATTCACTTCTTGAAATTTACCTTGCAACTTTCCCTGTCTTATAGAATTTCCTTGGTCTCTGTGGGTCTGGACGACTGACCTGAAGAAAGCTGGTACCAACTCTCCCATCTTCATCCAGATTTATGGACAGAAGGGGCGGACGGATGAGATTCTTCTGAATCCCAACAACAAATGGTTCAAACCAGGCGTAGTTGAGAAGTTCAGGGTAGGAGAAAAAAACGTGACAGGGTGGGAGGGACAGAGGAGGAAGGGATGATGTAGGGGGTGATTGTTATGCGATTCTGGTTTCCTAAGCCAGGGTTTGGTCCAAATTTGCAGACAAAAAGGTACAATGAACATGTAAGGCTCCTACAAGGAGGACACATTTGATGATTTTTACAGAATGTATTGAAAGGGATGCAATCTAGACCTGGATCTTCATTTGAAATGAACAGTCCAGAACCAAGCCTGAGGGAAGAAGCCACTGAGGAATGGTTTCAGGAATCCAGGAGGGGCATCTGTGTGCCTCAGAGATCCTGGCACAGGCTGTGTTAGACCACCTGGTCTAGACTGAATTAGAGAATAAGGACCAAACTTTAGGGAAAGTATTAATTTTAGAGCATTTGAAAGAAATTCAGCTGTAAGACTTTCCAGTGTTTATATAACTACAGCAGGCCTTTTTTCCTAAGAAGTGCTGCTTTGACCTTTAGGTAAGAATATTTGGTAATTTGCTGCCGCCTTCTCAGAGCACCCCATTGGCCCTCTGTTCTACCCCTCAGTTCATGCTCTTTATGTATTTGTCTTCCCTGCCAGATCTGAGCCCCCAGAGAAAAGGCATGGCTGCTGTATTGATCTTTTTGTCTGTTTCATTGCCCAGTAGAGTCCTGGGGCTGTGGGTCTGTGCTAATTTGCAGGGCTGTCATGCAGATTTTGTTACTGGAAATTTATTGCTTGGAAGATCTTCTCTAGGCTGCACACCTCTGTAGGTCAGTTATGTTTGTTCGGTTTTGCCAGCCCAGACTGAACCCTAGCTCCACATGGCTGTCTTGCCCCTATGTTCCACTGGTGGTCAGAAACATAAGAGAATAGGGAGTGTGTGAGGGTGGCTTCGAGCAAACCCATCCCTGCCGGTAGGAAGCAGTCCAATCCAGGCAGCCTCCTGGCTGTGTCAGGTGTGAGAGTAAATGTGTTTCCCTGCTTATGCCCACTGAAACCTTTTTATTTCTCATCCTAGGTTGAGCTCCCAGATCTGGGCAGATTTTATAAGATTCGAGCATGGCACGATAGAAGGAATCCTGGTTCTGGATGGCATTTAGAAAGGGTGAGATGTGCACCCATGGGACTGGGAGAGGACCAAAATTGCCCTTTTTAATGATCGTGTCACATAAATTTACTTCGTATTTATTGGGGGTGGGAGTAAAGAGGGCTGGATATGGGCCATAGATCCTTCCTGATGGGGAGAAGCCTTCCAAAATCGACTGAGGAAAGTACTCAGGTGTTCGTGGGGCATAATTCTGCCCTAGTCACCTAGGTGCTAGGCAAGTGTAGGTCTCTAGGAGAATGGGGGAGAATTATTAACCTGGCCTTCTGCCTCTCACAAGGGTCATCTCCAGAACGAACCCCTGGAGATGAGGTAGCAGAATGGGGGCACAGGGCATGGCTGAAGACTCTGGTACACTCACCTGCATTTCAGATGACCCTGATGAACACTCTGAATAAGGACAAATATAACTTCAATTGTAACCGCTGGCTGGATGCCAATGAGGATGACAATGAGATCGTGAGGGAAATGACTGCAGAAGGCCCAACAGTGCGGAGGATAATGGGCAGTGAGTACCGACTGGCTTTCCAACCTGTGGGAGGCAGCAGAACTCCTATTTTGTGTGGCAGTAGGGTCTCCACTGAGTGCCAAGTAGATCCAGAAGGCCCCAGCCTCAAGACTGGCTTGAGGGAACCCCCTCCAAGGCATTAAGCTAGCACTTACCATAATGGATGTGTTGGGGAGGGGCAGAGATTTACGAGTCTCCAATGGTCGATGAGGGGATGAGAAGGACACACACTAAATGATGGTTCTCTGGAGCTCCTTGAAATTAAAGGAAATATCTTTTTGGACCACCAAATTATGAAATTTTGGAAATGCTCCCTCATGAGGAAGGCTGGATCTGGGTTCTTATAGCCACACTTGACTTTCACCTAATGAGTCCTCTATCTCTATGTTAGCCTGGCAGGAGAAGGGCTAATCTGGAGTCCAATGTTCACATTTGAAGAGCCAAAGGAAGGTCATTTTGCTTCTAGGTTATAGTAGCAGAGTGTTTGAAAGTACATAGCATATGTTCCATTCTTTCCCATGGCAGACATTAAGTGATCACAACATTCTCTCTCACTGAACCTAGAATAAGTTTTGTTACCCTCAATATTGCACTGCAGGAGCCATTACCAATTGATTGGAATTGGCACTTAAGACAATTAACTTGTTTGCTATAGTCGTGAAAGAGCTTAATTTTTGCAGTAATAATAAAGAAATATTGCAAAACCACAAAAAGTTAAGGATGTATAAAAATGATGTCACCCATGGTTCTAGTAGCCCCACTAAGTATTTCAGTAATGTCAATTTACAAGTAACCATTTGATACTTGTGAGTGCAGTATTTTGCATGTGCATATCCTGTAGAAGCTCTCACTCTCTATATATCTGTGTACTGATATATATCTGTATATAGCTTTCTCTATATATCTCTATCTCTATGTGTTCTCACATTTTAGGGTGCATTATCACCCGGAGGTCTAATTGAAACACAGACTGCTAGACTCTACTGCAGAGTCTCTAAATCAGCAGGTCAGCATTGAGACCCCAGAATCTGCTTGTCTAACAGGTCCCTGGGTAATGTCAGTGCTTCTCTTTGGGAGCCACATGTTTAGAATCTCTATGTTAATGTATGTATCACTTTTCTAAATGCTCTTCTCTTTCCAAAATCAATTTTGTGTTGCTGTTTCCATACTTATTCCCTCGCTATAGCTTTGTTGGTGAACCTTTTATTGTTTGACCAAAAATAAAATAACCTCTAGATTATTTTTGGTGAGGTTTTTCCAAAGAGAGACCTACTATTTTCACCTACAGAGTGCAGAATGTTCTTTACCTGCAATCCCTCTTTGCCTTGACTGAAGCCTGACTTGCCCTAAGAACATTGTTTTTCCTCCTAATGAACTGCGGGATCAGGTGAGGTGAGGGGCATTGTTCTGACCTTTTCTATGCTTCCTGACTCTTACCACGGGTCCCCCTTTGAGACTCATACCCTTTCACAAAGTGACCAGTGACCCCAGCTCAGTCCATCTTCTGTTGTCCTCTAGTCACCTCCTTTTCTTACTCAAGACAGTGTGATGAGTCCTTGGATTGTTTTCTAGACACTGATCCCTGCCATGGTCCTAGGATGATGTGTTAGCTCTTGAGGGCTGCCGTAATAAATTACCGTTCTGTGGACTGGGTGGCTTAAATGCAGAAATGTATTATTTCATAGTCCTGGAAGCCAGAGTCCAAGATCACGGAGTTGGCAGGCTTGGTTTCTTCGGAGGCCTCTCTCATCAGCCTGCAGATGGTTGTTCTTGCTGTGACCTCCTCCCTTTGTTTTCCTTCTGTGTACATATCTGAGTCCTATTCTCTTCTTACAAGGACACCAGTCATCATGGATCACGGCCCACTCATGTGACCTAAATTTTCCTTAATTACCTCTTAAAGACCCTAACTCCAGACACAGTCACATTTTGAGGTAGTGGAGGTTAGGATCTCAGCATACGTATTTGAGGTATGGATCACAATTCTGCCTGTAACAGACGACATCTCTCAAAGCCTGGTCCAGTGCACATCTGTATCAAAATCTCCTGAAATGTCTACTAAAATGTAGATTCCCGGACCCAAGCTTGGATATGGTGACTAGACTCTCTGAGGGCTATCCCTGGTAGCACATGTTTTATCAAGCCCGCCTACTACTTTTTATGCTAATTTAAATGTAAGAACTTTGGTTTGCTTCTTGTGGGGTCCATATGGAACCCCCACCACTGCTGCCGACATGCTGGTAACCATCCTCAGTGTTGACATCAACCCCCATCCCACTTAACAAGTCGCACCTATCCCATCTAACCACCTCACTCAGCTCGTCTCACAAGCTGCCCCTAATGTGAACTCCGTACCCTCTAACAAAGCCCCTACCTCCTACTCCTCTCTTTACTCTGGTCCACTTCACGCCACACTTGAAGTCCTCCCAGCCCCCTCCCCACTTCCATTGGTCTCTTGATGAGTGTGATAGGTATGAATCTAAGGTGCAAACTACAATTATCCAAGGGAGAAAATAGGAAGCCAGAAATCAGGCAGAGGATGAATAGACAGACTTGTGAGGAGCTGATACATTCAATAATTACTTTTTGGAGGTGGAACTGGCAGAGCATGGTGCATGAATGCTGTGGGAATAGTAGCTGGGAGAAACTTTGCAGATGACGTAACATTGGAACCAGGTCTTCTACTGAGGGCTTTGACAGGCAAGGAGAAATTGGAGAGGAAAAACATTTCTGCAGGCCACATGCATGATGTGCTTGTGACATTTGAAAAAGTGTGGAACATGGGGCTGTCATGGCTGATATTCATTTTTGTCTTCTGTGATTCTATTAAAAAGCATTTCAATAAGGAAAAAAGTCAAATTTTTGTAACTGATCTGGATGCAAGGGCTGCCAGTCCTGGGTATAAGGGCAGTTTGATGCCTTCTCAGGGGCCTTGGTTATTCTTTAGAACCTCTACCAACTTAAATTTCTTTCTCCCTAAATATTTATCTTGTGCTTTGAGCACACCTATGTCCTCACTCAATCTCCTTTTCTGGTCTAGATGTTTCTTTGTAATACTCAACAGAGCTGATGACAACATCCTGCTTCCCCAGTGGGTACCAGTGTGTAATGAATAATGTGTACAGCTTCCTACAGATCCCTTAAGTGGAGAGTCTTGGATTTACATGTGATAAATAAATACTAATTTAAAATCAATTCTCTGAATTTGAAGATGTGTGTCCTGAATTACTTACAAAATAATGGTCAGCCAAATCAACAACTAATGCCACATCTAGAAGCTGAGAGCCTTTGGGGAGTAATTGGATTGATTAACACGGATCGGGAGACAGACAAAACATATACCAGCTCACACTTTGTTTCCACCTTGCCTCTCCCTCAGGAGCTATGTGAGACAGTGAACTAAATGCAGTCATCATTCGCTGCTATGTACACACCACTGATGAGTGGGCAAGAGTCCACTGGACTTGAGAGCTGAGCATTGTCAGTTCTCATTAATCAGACCAAGCTGTAATTTTTAAAGTACAAGAGGCCGTGGTACTTACCCATCTGTTTAAAGACTTTCACTGCTGGTGTCTAGCAATGTTATTATTTCTAATTGTTCATGGACTTCTTAGCAGGAAGAGCTTGGAACCTCAGTGGCTGTTGAGCTCAGAGGGGCTCCTGAGAGAGTGACAATGCTTGAGGACATTCAACTGAACAGACCTTAGAGCTCCTGAGCAAAGAGGACTGGAATTCCCAGGCAAAGGGATTTCTAAATTCCCTCATTATTTGGCTTCTTGAAATTGCTTATTCATCACAGTTATAAAAGCACAACATGCCTTCATCAAAATTCAGAATGTGTTTTAGGCCAGTGCTTAGGTTCTCAACTTCTCCTTTGTGCCTCATGTCTCCATTTTTCCATTCTCACTCTGTTCAGTACTGTTTGTTCCTCCTACTGCCAATGCTACTATCACTGAAAGTACAACAAAAAGAGTCAATCTCACTTATACAAGGGCCGCAAATTTAAAGTATGGAGCACTTGAATATTAAAAAGAGCTGCTTAGAGAATTTCAGGTGCTGTGGTCCTGTGGAGGCAAGATTGGGGGCAGGAAACTTTTCCCTCAATAATAACTCAATGTTTCAGTGCCTACCAATGCCAGCTCTAGTCAAGGCAAGCCACTGCATACGATGATTCATTACTTTTTTTTTCTAACAAGAGCTTTTGCTATAAACACTGTATCTTTAATAGTCCACATATTTAAGGGTCAAATTTATTTTTCAGGTGTCTTTATATCTTCAAGTAGGAATGTGTATGTTATTGAAAAAATAATTTGCATACTGAATTAAACTTTCTGATGTACTTTATTTTAGATGAACTGCCAAAGAATGGTATCCATTTAAAAATAATGTATTGCAGGCCGGGGACTTAGCTCAGCGGTTCAGTGGCCTGCCTTGCAAGCGCAAGGACCCGAGTTCAATCCCCAGTACCAATAATAACAATAATAATAATAATAATAATGTATTGCACTATAATTCATGTGACATTCAGTTTATCCATTTAAAGGGTCAGTGGCCTTTAGAATATTAGCAGAATCATAATCTGTCACCACTCTTAAATTCCAGACATTTTCCTCTCCTCTAAAAGAAATCTCAAACCCATCATAAGTAATATTTATTCCCCACTTTGCCCTTTGTAGCAGTTCATCTTCATTGTCAATTAGATTGGCTTGACGCATGCCTAGGAGATTAATAAGGTGCATTTCTGGGTGTATCTGGACCTTGCGGACTGTGTTTGGGCCCTGGTTCTTTTCTCTCTGGTGCTTTTTCCTTGTGCCCTCTTTCCCAGCCACCACGATCTGAGCAGTTTTGCTTTCCACACCCTTCCACTATGATGTTCCTGCCTTCGAGCCAGCTGACTGTGAACTGAAACCCCTGAAACTATAAGCCAAAACAAACATTTTCTCTTTTTGAAGCATCAGGTATTTTGTCTCACTGATAAGAAAGCTAATGTACCCTTCAGT